AAACATTAAAGTGTGACAAACATGCAAAAAAATAAGAAATCAGGAAGGGGGGCAACACTTTTTCACACCACTGTATATATCCCTTATATATAATATTTTTAAAGGATAAATCATAATATTACAATATTGTTATATAATATAATATTAGTGTCAAATGGTATTTATTTATTTTGTTGCTTACCCTCTTGGTAATTAATATATAATAAATTATGATGCTTATATATGTTTATAATTGCCTGTAACAACTGGTTATGTATATATATATATATATATACACACACACACACACATTTTTTCTATTATATTTACAAACAATTTGTTCCATGCCTACTAGTGTGATAAAAAGATTAAATAATAATAAAATTGTCAGTTTTTCTTTGTTTTTGGCTTGCCTCCTAGCCACGCATCCCCTCAATAATAAATTATTATTATTATGAAGAGCTTTAAAATCAAGGAAATTTGACTTTTTAATTAGAAATTTTGTCCAATCGGCTGTTATTACCATGATACGAACCATTAAAAAAAAAAAAAAGCATTATATATTGTTATAAAACGTCATTAACATTACAAACAATATGAACACTACACATTTTACACTTTGATCAAGGCCACAACCAGATTATTCAGGGTATTTTTCAATATTTTTAAAAAGGCAATTCAATTATGTGCCCGTAATGGAAAAATCTCCAAATAAACTTAAAGGGAAAAAAAATCAGACACCTTATCTTTCATGTGCAGTCTGCAGATGATCAGATAGATTATGTAGAGATTCCCACTATTAAAGAGCAGACTGATGAATCTCAGCATGGCAGTAGAGCAGACCACACTGCCCTTCAGATCCGCCAGCCACACCACAGGCCTGATCAGACCCACTGAAGCCAGATACAACCCGGGAAGAGTGGTGATCATCGGATCCCACTGTGGAGAGGGGCACATGAGCATTCATGTCCAAAAACACAAACACACTGAGAAATTCAAGCATCATTAACAATCATACCTCATGAAACTTCCCCTCACAGTACTTCTGGGCTTGAGGAACATGGAATATCTCATCCATGTACGGATCTCTCTGCTCCCGTGTGATTTTGGAGAACAGGACGCAGGATATGAGAAAGTTAATGCTGCACAGAGCAGTAAAGATATAAACCTCAAATCTCTCCATCCTTATTCAAACAAACACAAAAACACTCGATCTTTGATAATACACTTATGGAAACGAATGATATACGAGGATGAGTAAGATAGTATGCGAATCATTCATAGATTGTAATCGATCTTCCTTCAGATTGTCAAAAATGTGCACATATATGCAAAAATCGCATTTTTAAGTTTTGGTTTTTGACAGCTTACTGGTGCGTCACATACGAGCGTCCGTGTCTAAACCGGAAGCGTGAACAATCAGTTCCACCCCGATGTTGTCACAGACTATTAAAATAGTAATAAATCTCTTGTAAGTAATAATGTTGTCACATTGAAATATGTACATCACCTATACTATGATATGTTCCTTCTTAAATTCTTTATTTAAAAAATCACAATGATTTCTTCTCTAGTAAGAATAATTACATCACCATGTAAATACATCCTAAATAAGACAATAAATAACAGAAAGTAACAGAAGCGATGTGCCCATGCAATCTCCTTTCGACTTTACAAGTATATGAATTAATTGACTAAATTTGTCATCTGTGTAGTGCCCCCGAAAAAACATGACACTGAATTAAAAATACACAAAAAAAAAGTTTAAAAAACAAGGATTATTATATACGTCGATCATAGCTAGTCGACCAATTAGAAGCGACTTCTGAGCCGACAGGCCCCGCCCATTTCAGACAACTGTCGCATACTAACCACTGCGGGAGTGTTTTGTTTTCATATACTTTATAAACTAAAACCTGACTGTATATTATTTAATGTATTATTTAATATTATTAAATGTTCACCTACACAATTGCATCGACTGAAATTGGCCAAGTCGGAACATTCCCATCAGCAAATGACGGTGTCACATTATTATCGTTCCGTGTGTGGCCACACTGGGTACCGCATGCTTTCTAGATAAAGTTAATGTTTTACTGAATACTAAAGTATTAATAATGCATCTTACGCAAGACTTAGAACTGTTTCCTGAATACACGGTGATTCAACTGCTCTTCAAAGATGTAAAAAATGCGACGGAGTTGAGAAAAATGGCAGTGAATGGAGAAATAAAAGGCGCCTTGATCAATCCATCAATGGTAAGAGAACACTTATCAAATCATGTACAAACTCGTTTATGGCTATATACTATATATACAGAAATTCAACATGCCTAGTAAAAAGTACCATGGTAATACCCTGCTTTGGATGGTGTCATGGCTATACCGTTTTTGAACATGCAAATATATACACACACTAACTTACCTGTCAAAAATTATAAATAATTAAGTTTTTAAATGTTTTTGAAAGAAGTCTCTAATGCTCACCAAGGCTGCATTTATATGATATTTCCATAAAAACGGTAATATTGTGAAGCATTAATGCGATTTAAAATACCTATTTTTCTGTTTTAAAATACTATTTATTCCTGTGTTGGTAAAGCTGAATTGTCAAACTGAATTGCTTCATTTTCCCTATAAAGGTTGTGGATGCATTACAGATCTTGGTGGCAGCAAATAAAGCAGTTCACCTACATAAAAATGGGAAAATGAAAACCCGGAGCCTTTACTCGGAAATAATTTTTAATCTTTCACCCACAAACAATGTGAGTAATATATTTCAGTACAGGAACACAGCCGAAATCTTTATTTGTTTACAGTGTGCAGTTTTAACAAAGTTTAATGTTTGGCAGATATCTGAAGCATTCAAAAGGTTTGGGATCTCAGACAGTGACAGCGCGGTTCACATTGTGTTAGTACACAACAAAGACGAGACCCTCAGCATCGATAACATCATCTCAAAGGTGGACGGACAACAGGTTGCCGTTGATCGAGTGTCTGATTTGACTGATGTCGCCAAGATTAAAAAGGTATGTCTCTTTTTACACAGTACTGATGTAGAACAATTTAGGGTGCCTCGTTTATTGCATTTGTTTGAAAAATACATCTGTGTCTCTCATTACAGCTCTACAAAGTCGCACCACAGGAGGAAAAGTGTGGCAGTCTTTTGGACGCTGTTGTTTGCAGGATGGCCACTAAAGATGTCGCATAGCTAATCAATACGTTGATATGTTTCTATTTTACATAAACTCACACGGTATTTCCTCTTGTCAGATCTCCTATAGTGGAACATGTGAAAAAATATTGTATATATCCCACTTTTTATGAAAATAAAAAATAGCATCTTGGGACACATTGTTAACATTCTTTAATGCAGATGTGAGAACCATTTTAAAATATACAGTGTTTTTATATATAGTTTCCAACTAGGGTCAATTTGTAAAAAGATACATCGAAAAGTTGTCTGAGGGAAAAAAAAATAATATATATATATATTATAAGACAACATTTTTCTAGAGCCTGGACACTTTTCTTATAAATAAAGCTTAAAATGGCTTAATGACTTGATCATAGTCAATTCATACCAAAAAGTATACCAGCAAGACTGGTAAGAAAAAACATTTATGTTACACCTCAATATGTCAGTTGTGTATCAGCAAGAAACAAATGTCCTTTATAGCACCGATTTAAGTTTAGTCATAAGCTGTCCATGTTCACAAAATCAGATTACATGTGATGAGATATCCAGACTTTTTTGCATATCCAGATATTATACAGATGGGTTTTTGAATGTCTGGACAGCGAGAAAAAAATAAACACATTTGGAGGTGCTTGGAAATGCAATTTGAATCAGCTTTTTACAGATGTGCTCAATTTGGAATTTAAATAGTCTTTTGCATCACTCTTAATGCGACTCAACGATAATGTCAAAACCAGTATTTAAGTGAAGTATTCATAGGAAGTACAGTACAGTATTCAAAACGAAGCCGAGGCCAGCTGTGACTACAGCACGAAACGTCACAATACACACCAGTCTCCTCCATCACTGAGTTTGAAGATTGACAAGGTGCTTATTTGCAGACTGAGATGATGCACCTCCATTTTTTTTCCTGCATCCGTTTTGAAAGCCTCATCAAAAACGTGGGTACGCCTACGTCGTAACCAAAGCAACTCATGCAGATAAGTTGGTTATGTTTGGACATACAAATCCTGATTTGATCACTTGCAGTTAATAGTGCAGAAATATCCAATTCGCCTGCAGTCTGAACATAGCCATAGTCTACACAAGTCACTTTCCCTCTGGAAGGTTTGAATAAGTTGCAAAATCATCCAGATCTCCAGCATGAGAAATATGCACGACTGTAGTCAATATGAATAATGTAATGAATGTTGAAAAGAAAATGTTGCAGTAGGGTACAGTTTAGCACAGCTATAAAATTATGTGTAAGCTATTATGTTAGTCACCTAACAAACAACACAATCTGTATAGGCCTATTAGTTTTCTGTTGATTGGCACATATAACACAGCAGGGATGTGCAGATGTTTCGTAACTTTATTTATTCACAGTATTTTCACTTCTAAAAAGGATACATTATCATTTTAGTGTTTTGCACTTAAAATATGAATGCAATTCATCATAAAAACAAGAGATTATGATTAAATAGATATAAACCCATAAACGACTTGGCAAAATGTAGTTGTTATCGCAAACATGAATCTGCCATCATTTATGCTACTCTTTTCCATACAATTATTGTATGGAACTTCAAAGCCCATATATGCTTTAGAAACATTATTAATGTGATTATTATCTAAATAAGCCTTTAACTTAGTCAGGAAAGTTGCTAAGCTCATCTTTGCCAATGTTTCCTCCGCTGAGGATGACCACCACATTCTTGCCATTGATATCTGGGATTTTGTCATTCGTGACGGCAGCGAAAGCTGCAGTGCCTGAAGGTTCAACCACGAGTCCAGCCCTATAAAGTATGGCAACTGCAGATTTGATCTCCTCATCGGTCACCAGCACAATGTTCTCCACATACTTCTGACACAGCTCATATGGCAAAGAACCTGAGGGTGAATCCCAATATAAAAGTTTCAAAAAGCCCAAATAATGTAAAGTTATAATGAACGCTTCCATAAAGTTTTATTCAAAGTAGAATTCATACCTGCAAATGGTGGCGCTAGCCCTGAAGCGAGTAATTTACAACAGCTTCGAACTTGGCTCAACCAATCAGAATCAAGCACCGGAACACTCCGTTTTATAATAAAGCAATAAGCCCCAAGAAGCCGTGGTTTACAGTGAATTTATAACAGCTAAGGGGCGTTGTTAGGCACGACGCGAAGCCTCTCTGAGCATCTCGATAGTAATGCTGTCTGCTGAGACATCTCCCATTGTTCCCATATAACATCTCCCGTCGTGCCTAACAACACCCCTTAGCTGTTATAAATTCACTGTAAACCACGGCTTCACGGGGCTTATTGCTTTTATAAAATGGTTATTCCATATACGTAGTAAGGTTTCACAGAATAAAACAGCAAATAAAGTGTGATGATATTAATAAAAACAGTATTCTTCCACCAAACAATGTAGTTCCTCAGAAACAGTTGTGGTTCCAACAAAGTGGCAACACACAGAAGTAAACAAAGGTGTATGTTTGTAGTGTAATTTACAACAGCTTTGAACGCGGCTCAACCAATCAGAATCAAGGACTGGAACTATCTGTTTTATAAAAGTAAATTTGAGCTACCATCTTTTATGGTGCAATTACATTAGCTTTGTCGAACTCATTATCTTCCATTATGTATTTTGTTCCTGGCACAAATCGCAAGACACAGTGAAGTGTAACGACAGTTTAATTATGCTCTTCTTAATTCCCTTAATATGATTGCTTGAAGGTTCGTTGTTAACCTTTTCAGTAACACTTTACAAGAGAGATCCATTTATTGGTTAACTACATTAGTTTACATTAACTAAGATTACTAAATGCTGTTAGTTTTTTACTTATACGTTTTTTAAATCAAAGTTGTATCTTTTAACTAACATGAATAAACAATGAACAATTGCAGTTTTATTAACTAACGATTAATGAATGTTGTAAGAAATGTATTGCTCACTGACAACTAATGTAACAAATAAGACCTTACTGTAAAAAAAGAATTTGAATATTCACCTCCTTCTGGTTCCACTCCATAGATCTTTGTGTTCTCACAACCAGACAGTTTGATGGCAGCTGCCACACCAGCAAGTAACCCTCCTCCACCACAGCAAACAACCACAACATCTGGATAGGGTACAACTTCCAGGATCTCAAAACCTAAGCTACCATTCCAAAAGACACTGGGATGAGTGAACCAATTATAATACATTCCATTACTGATGCATAAGTTAAATTTATCATGCACTCTCAGCCAAAAAAAGAAAAGAAAAGAGATACTACTATGTACCTTTAAGGTACTAATATACATGCTTTAGGGGTAAATACGGTGCAAAAGTGTATATTTTGAAAGACTACTCCCCTAGTGACAGATGCTGTACCTTTTTTGGAGGTACAGAGCGTGTTGTTATTCAATTTTAATATTATTCAGAGCTGTATGTTTTTGCAAGAAAATGTGTACCACATTTATGATGCCTTTAAAGTGCTTTATGTTCTTTTAGGAGCTTAACAGTCACAATTCACTTTCACTAAATGAGCAAAATCATGTGAACATTCTTTAAAATATCTCCTGTTGTGTTCAACTAAAGAAAAAAAAAGTCATGCAGGATTGGAACGACATGAGGGTGAGTAAATAATGACAGGATTTCCTTGCTTTGGGTGATCTATCCCAGACTATACTTAACCTGGCATGTCCAGCGATAAGATCCGGATCATCATAGGAATGTAGGAAAGTCATGCTGTCCTCTTGAACACTTCGGTTAACAACATCCATGAGACGAGGAGTTGGCGCTCTTTCAACCTCAACTCCCAAACTCTACAAATGGTTGGCACATTTTGTTCAAACATTCAATTATGACAAAAGTGTAACCGTGTCAGCATGAGAGTGTCATACTTGTATCAGAACAGATCTGGAGATGGGGGCGGTTTCTGGCATCACCACTTTGCCTTTGGATCCATAATGCTTACATGCATATGCAAAAGACTTTCCATAATTCCCAGCAGACATGGTCACAAAATGGCCCCCTTTGAGTCTCCGGGCAAACTGGTTTGCAACACCTCTTATCTTAAATGAACCTGGTGGCAGAGGCAAAGAAAACGGAACATGATATGCTTACACATCGCTACATTGCATAACCAGAGCAAACAGAATTAGCACAAACTGACCGGTCCTCTGCATGTTTTCCAGTTTGATGTGAATGTTGCAGGGGTTGTTGAGTGGAAGTGTGGTTTGGGACCATGGGATCATTGGTGTGTTGATCACATCCAGCGGACTGCATCTGACAGTCCCACATGCCTCTCTGAGCATCTCGATAGTAATGCTGTCTGCTGAGACATCTCCCATTGTTCTTGCTCGATCAGTGAAACTTTGTTAGATGTATAGCTAAAAAAACAATAAAAAATAGATACATATAAATTTAAAATTCTAAATATAAGTAGTTGTGATTAAATATATTTATAGTTAGATTTATTTTATAATTATTTTTATATTTTATTAAAGCAATAAGCCCCAAGAATTTGACAGTGATTTTATAACAGCCCCCCCTTAGCTGTTATAAATTCACTATAAACCACAGCTTCACGGGGCTTATTGCTTTTATAAAACGGTTATTCCATATACGTAGTAAGGTTTCACAAATTAAAACAGAGCAAATAAAGTGTAATGATATGAATAAAAACATTATTATTCCGCTAAACAATGTAGTTCCTCAGAAACGGTTGTGGTTCCAACAAAGTGGTTGCCGAGCAACACACAAACGTAAACAAAGGTGTATGTTTGTAGAGTAATTTACAACAGCTTCGAACTTGGCTCAACCAATCAGAATCAAGGACCGGAACTATCCGTTTTATAACATTAATTAATTTATCATTTAAATAATTTATTATTATTTAAAAATAATTATTGTGTCTTGTTGTTTTCATTAACAAATGTGTTAACTGAACTAGTTTTGATTGCTAATGCATTGAACATAGGAGAGCTTTAGATTGTTCTACCATATGTTCTTGTATGAGGTGGCAAAGGGAAGGAAAAAAAAACTGAGAAATAAACAAATCCTACTATACAACATTAATATAGATTTTCAGAAACGAATGGTGCCAAATAAGTTTATTTTGGTATATCCCAAGTTCCCAACCATAAAACTTCTACATAACAGCCCGAAAGTTTACAGTTG